TTTATATGTTATTATTAAAAATAAATTTTTAAAAATAAAAAATATTATTTTAATATATTTCTAAATTAAAAAAATGCTAACAAAGTATTAAATATATATTTTTTAATGGAAAAAAACAAGTGTGGTGTTTGGTAGTGCGATTAAAATATTATTTATTTAAAATTAATTTTTAAATATTTTTATGTTACTGATATAAAAAGTAAATTTTAAAAAATAAAAATATTTGTTTGTTAAAAATCCTTTAAAATGTAACTTTGTACCGCAATCTAATAAAATTTGCGAGGCCTGAGAAGTGAGAAATATGATAAATAAAGTTGGAGCCCACAGACAGGAGAGTGTTCTAAGCTGTCCTCTTAGGCAAGCAAGCAGAAAAATACAAAACAGCCACGGGCCCTGTTTGGTTCTCCAACATCAACATACACGGATTCCAATCTGTCAAGGTCTTAATTGAAGATTTCTCTGAAAGTTCAAAAAAGAGGTTTTACCGGTGATATACTCCAAAAACAGCACAGGGATTCTCCCTTCTGGTCTTTATAAAATGCGAAAAGCATCTTCACGAGGGTGACACTTACCAGAGAAGAAAATAATCTCAGTCTCCATCCACAAGTTTCCCGAACCCTCATTTGCTATATCTTCTCTTCTCCTTTCTTTCCCCCTTTCCTTCAACGAAGACAACAGGTTTTTCCTACGGTGGCTAGAACACTAAAAGATGGTAACTTTGTTGTTTGCTTCGATTTTCTCAGTGTTTTTGTTGGGTTTTTATCTTTCTTACGTGGGGTTTGATTGAATGATTGATACAGGTTGCGGTCGTGGAGTCTAATGCGAATTCAAACATCGTGGGTCAGTTAAATTCAGGATTTAATGAGAGTAATATTTTAAATGGAAATGGAATTATTTCAAGAACTAACAGTGGTTGTGGCTATGTGTCTTCAACGAGTACAGCAATGACTAATGAGCCTTGTGTTTCTTGCACAACTTTTAACATCCTGGCTCCTATCTACAAGCGACTTGATCAAAAGGTCTGTTCTTGTCCCTTTTGAATTCAGAAATTAGTGTTAATTCTTCTTGTTTTTCATCTTCTTTTAATTTTTTAAGAACTTATTTGTGTGCTTTTGTTTTGTTGTGAAATAGAATCAAAGTGTTCGTGAAAGCAATTTCAGAGCAGTTTGGCTCTCTAGAAACCAAAAAATTTTGAATTGGTTGCTTCACGAGAGATCTTCAATTATTTGTCTCCAGGTGGGTGCTTAATTCCCTTTCTATTTCACTGTCACTGTGGATCTAGCCTTGTATGAAAAAATAAAAAGAGTTGGTTGTTGTATTTGAAAATTATGCTAACTGGCTGTTTTCTGTGTTGAAATCTTGTTTTTTTTTATCTGTAGGAATTCTGGGTTGGAAATGAAGAACTTGTGCGTATGTACCAGCAGAGGCTTGGTGATGCTGGCTATGTGACTTTCCAGCTTGCACGAACCAATAACCGGGGAGATGGTAATTAATTTGTTGTCTAAGCTCCTTCTTTTCTTTTAGTTTCTTCTTGGGCTATGTGGATCCTTCAAGCAAGCTACCCTTTTTTTTAATGTTCTCTTGCTTTTCAAAAGACATCTTTGGTCATCAGCTTAGGTCAGGCTGATTTTGACTGTCATTCAATTTCGTACAAACATGAAGAAAATAAATTAGGCATGCCATATTTCTGGATAGCCGACTTCACATACTGGCAGGCCATGAGGTGGAAAAACCATCTTCTTGGGTCTTAGCAGTAATTTGAATTATTATTTTCTTTTTGCTTATTTTTGTAGTCATATGTAAACTGCACTTTGTATGCTATTTCTACCCTTAAGCATGCTTATTTTTTGCTATATGATTTTGCTGACCTGCAAGTTGAAAATCCAGCTACATGTGTCCCTGATGTTATCATCATTCAATTCAGCTTGTGTAAGCTAGTGCTGATTGGACTGGAAATTTTATTCTCTCCACAGGCCTGCTAACTGCTGTGCGTAAGGACGACTTTACGGTTCTAAATTGTCGAGAGTTGCTCTTCAATGACTGTGGAGACCGTGTTGCTCAGTTACTGCATGTCCAATCAGCGCTTCCCTTTTCACAAAACCGGAAAGGCAGTGCCCAGCAAGAATTTCTTATTGTTAACACTCACTTATTATTTCCTCATGATTCCTGTCTGTCTGTAGTTAGACTGGATCAGGTATATAAATATCTCTTTAGTTATAATCATCCACTTCGTTTTGAATTTCCAGTCCTAGTTCTTCTTAGCAATGTTTGTTCCAATGGTTACCTTGAGGTTTGTAATTGGTTTTTTTCTAGGTTTACAAAATACTACAATATGTGGAACAATATCAGAGAGAAAACAAACTCAACCTAATGCCAATCCTACTATGTGGGTAAGCTTCTCGTCTTGCTTTGTGAAGTAGATAATTCTTGCATAGCCTCTGAATATAGACATCCTCATTTTCTTTTCATTTGTTTGATGCTTTATCCAGTGATTGGAATGGAAGCAAGAGTGGACATGTTTACAAATTCCTGAGGTCTCAGGGATTTGTATCTTCATATGACATTGCCCATCAATATACTGACAGTTATGCAGATGCTCACAGGGTAAGTTTCTTCAAGTCCCAATCCAAGTGATTCCATATAACTAGATAACAACATCTAAATCCGCTGCTTACCTCAATTTTTTTTCCTTGTCTCTTTTTCTGCATCACACAGTGGGTTAGCCACCGAAATCATAGGGGTAACATCTGTGGTGTTGATTTCATATGGCTGTGTAATCCTATTAAATCAAGGAAACCATTGAAGAAAAGTTGGTCTGAAGCAGTATTTGGAATAATAAAGGTGAGTTCAATCATTTCTCACATGTTCTTCATATTTTACTCTTCAGTTCTTTTTAACTTTCGATCATTTTCCAACACATCAGATCATTTTACTTGCTTGCTCTGCCAGTTTGATATTTTGTGCTCGAGAAGTGAAGATGAAACATGGAATAATATTGTTAGAAAAGGAAACAGAATTGTACTGTACAGATGAGTCAAGACCATTTATTTTACTTCAGTTCATATCTTCCTAAAATTTGTATGCGTCTCAGAAAACTAGTTCAATTTTTCATCTTGAGATAGTAGACACATGTTATGTATCAGAGAAGGATGTTCGGAAATCCTTTATTTTATTTTCCTTCTCTTAAGTAATTATTTGGAGGAAGCTTCTTTTTTTTTTTTAAAAAAAAAAGGAAGAAAAGAAAGACAGTTGCTTACTGTCTGCTAGCTAAGTAATCACAATCTAACCATGGACAGTAGGAATTTATGCCTAAGAAACCTTAACATTTACAGCTGATGCTGCTTGTTGCAACATCAGCTGTAAATGTTATGTTGCAGCATGTACCATCTATTCTGACATACAAGATTCGTTAAACCTCACTGAAATTGTAGTCAAGAACCGGTTATCATCATGTTAGTTTACAAGTCCCTACAAGTATTTTACATGCCGTGTTGTATATATGGCTATGCTGTTCAGTTCACTTCTTGCCCTTAGCATTTTATCAATGCAAAGTAATGTGCGCACGCTATACATTGAAAAGTTAAACTGAATTACATTTTAGCATCCTTATTTCACAAATCAAGGGGCATAAAACTTAGAGCTGGCTCTGGCAAAGTGCCCCAATAACATAAATGTCTTTTGATTTGGAACTGCACATAATCTACTGATTTCAACACCTGATTGCTGTAATTTTTCTTGGTTCCAGTGTCAGCTCCAAAAAGCTTCATTGGTTGAAAATGATGCATTTGCATTTCTAAAGGCTGACGACCGTGGCAATTTTATCACATACTCAGCTTTCTGTGAAGCACTCCGCCAGGTACTTTTACAAGCAGCAGCTTGATAATAAACGTGCAATTTTAAGTGGAAAGATGAACTTACCATATTTTAATCTTATTCAGGTAAATTTAATTGGTCTTCCTTATGGACTCAGTTCCCAGGAGACAGAAGATTTGTGGATGCAAGTTGACATTAATGGAAATGGAGTTGTTGGGTATGAAGAATTTAAGGTATGGTACATCCCTGATCCACGGTATTAGCTGGTGCATTGCCGTGTGTTACAATTCCAGGCATGCTTATGAATATTAAGAATACGTGGAATTCTGTTTCCCTTCTCTTTATATCTGTGTTAGATTGGTGTCTACCACTTCATGTGTTATGTATCGCTTATGAAAATGCTTAATAATTGCAGAGGAGTATATGGAATTCAGAATGCTCAGAGCCAAGAGAGGAAAATTGCAGTGAGAGGACAGGGGACTCTGAACAGGGCTTAGAGGAAGAAGCCATTGGTTTCAATGTAAAGAAAGCAGTTCTATTCCCTCGAGAAGCTGAGAAAGGAAGGTGGCCTGAAAATTATTCCCTCTCAGATCATGCTCCACTCACCGTGGTGTTTTCTCCAGTAAGAATACAGGGTTCTCAGCGGGTGACACGTTTGTAGACAAAACTGGCTTCAAAAAATAATGAGGTAGATAAGAGAGTGAAGTGTGTAAATCAGAAATAACTGTCTATAGTATCCCTGGGAATAACTAGTTCCCTTGGCCAAAATTTTCAGGCAAAGAGAGGCCTATGCATTCCAGATTGTCTTTGTTTTGTAATGTGAAAAGCCAAATCAGAACCATTCCAAATGCTGATAAATCTGTTCATCAATTTTCTAAAGAACTGTGTTTTCCGTCATGTCATATCGTATCTGGATGCAACCTTTTTATGGGTTACCTGAATGCTTCTGTTCAGTACCTGTTTCTTTCCTAAACAATTACCATGGAAACCATTTCTTCCTCTCTTCCTCGTTTTCTTGTTTTTTGGGACAGTATAATTTTTGGTCCTCGTGAGATAAGATAGACAGCTTGACAATCTTTTTAAAAATATATTAGTTTAAAGTAAACAATACAATAAATTTTTTTTAATATTTTTTTAAAAAGTTAAACAAACAAGCTAATGCCAGATGGCACCCGTCCATTAACGGTCCTGACATGGGCTCTGAGGATCGATTTCACTTTAGATAAGGCTTGGACCTGGAAGATAAAACTAAGATCGCTTGGTACATGAATAATCTTGCGGCTGAAGAACAGTTACCGCAGCTGCTGCTGCTTCTGGTTATTGCATGGTAAATCTGTATTGTATGGTTCTATTAGGCTAGGAATACAACAAAATAAAATCAAGCCGGATCCATCCTCTTCTATCCTGCTTTTACTACAGGTTATCACGACAACCAGCTAGGAGGCATTTTTATCAGGAGAACATTCTAGAAGATGGTAGTATGAATGAAGACGGGAAGCAAGATTTTGACTTTAGATAGGGTTACAGAAGATTGTGGAGGGCCCCCCCATAAAACTTGGGAATCAAGCTAGAAGTGGAGTTCAAGCCCCGGTGGAGAAGAGTGATCCTTTCTTCCTTCCCTCACCCTTTATCCATTCGAGGCGGTCCGAATGGTGGGGTCCACCCACCTTCAACTTTCTTCTCTTCGAAGTAGTTGTCTACGTATCAAATGTCAATATGCCACATCAGCACACCCTCTTGTTTCTCTCTACTTTTAACAACTTCTCCTGGAAGGCTATTGACTCTGTGTTCACAATACAGAATCTCTCCACCTTCCCCAGTATATAAACACACACAGTCGCTCTCTCATCGAACCGAATCACCCACCCCTCTTCAAGGAAAGAAAAAATGTCACCCGTCGGTTTCTGATTCTGCTGGCCCTTCCTTCCTCCCTTTCAATCCCAAACCTCATCTCAACTCAGGCGTGGCTTTCTTTCCTGTTTTAGGAAGCGGAATGAATAGCAAGATCCAATCAGGTGAGTCAGATCTTGCTCGTAATGCAACTTTTGAATGATCGTTTTTACCCCCTCAATCTCTCTCTCTATCTCTCTAACTGTCATATTGTTTTCTTAGTTATGAAAAATCCAATAGACGGAATGCCATCCGCACCAGCAGTTGGATATAGGTTTCGTCCAACTGACGAAGAGTTAGTTAGCAATTATTTGAAGCCAAAATTGCTCGGTGATGACTTGGAAGACTTACTTATCATCGCAGAGATCAAAGTCTGTAATCATGAACCCTGGGATCTACCCGGTAACTATACACCTCTTTCCGTTTCTTTTTATTATATTTATTGTTTCTGTCGCAATAGTGGATTAACGCAGTGATTATTATGTAGTTAAATCGGAAATAAAGTCCGATGATGCAGTTTGGTATTTCTTTTGCCCTCGCGATTTAAAGTACTCAAACAGCAGACGCTCTAACCGGAGAACGAAGGCTGGATTCTGGAAACCAACCGGCAAAACTATTAAAGTAAAGTCGAGGCGTAACAAGGAGGTGATTGGTACTAAGAAGACTTTGGTTTTCTATAGATCAGCTAGTCCTAAAGCCGAGAGGACTGCATGGATTATTCATGAATACGAAGTGGCCGTATCTGATTCAAGTTTCTCTAATCTGGTAAGTGCAAATTATTATTATTATTATTATTATTATTATTATTATTTATGTAATTTAGTGACGCTGTATTTGAAGAGTAGTTTATTTTGTAATAGTAGAGGTCTTAGTCTTATTGCAAAAACATTAGTTAATTGCTGATTTGAATTAATGTGTTACGGTTTTCTTAAACGGGGAGGGAAAAATAGCTTAGCTTGATTTATGGCTATCGTTTCTACGAAATTGGAAACCAGGATGTTAATTGGTTATTATCTCGAGGTGTTAGAAATAGTCATTTGTGCATAGGCAGTAATTCTGGCTTCATGAGTTGTGTTTGTTCAAATTTCGTTTGAATGTTAGGTTGCTTTTAGAAATTTGGTTTTGCTAGTGTATGCTCTCATGTACAGATAATTCACTCAATGACTCGAGGTTTTCATTTTCAACAAGTGCAGGGAGAATATGTTCTCTGTAAATTGAAGAAAAAACTAGATGGGAAGACCGGTAAAGGTGTTTCTATCTCAGGTTTTGAAGCTGAACCGAGCTGCAGTATGGCTTTTGATTTTGAAAATCATAATCGCAGTGAGTTGACTGCGAATTCTGCTTGTGTTGAAAGTGAATCAAGCAACCATCTGGCTTCTGATTTTGAAAATCCAAATTCAAATGAGCTGCCGACTAACTTAGCTCAGGAAGTGAGTGAGTTGAGCTGCTTTTCGACTACTAATAACCAAAACCTAAATGAGCTAATGTCTAATTTGGCTTATGATGGAAGTGGACTGCACCACTCCATGGCTACTAATTTTGGTAATCCAAACTCAAATGAGCTGATATCTAGTTCATCCTATGATGGAAGTGGTTCACTCCACTCCATGGCTTCAAATTATGAAATTCAATACCGAAATGAGCTGATTTCTAATTCGGCTTATGATGGAAGTGGTGGTTTACTCCACTCCATGACTTCAAATTATGAAATCCAATACCTAAATGAGCGGATATTTAATTCAGCTTATAATGGAAGTGAACAGAGCCACTCTATGGCTTCTGATTCTGAAAATCAAAACCTAATGGACACGACTTTTGTGTTCCCTGGTTACTCGCTCTCCAAACCTCCTGAACAACAGGTCCCGTCACCCTCTGAGAATTGGTTTACAACTTCTGATTTTGAAGATCCATTATCACCTCTTCAACCTGAAGGTGAAACTGGTCCTTCCATGGAGATGCCTTTTCAGTTTACAAATTGCCTACTGGCTTCAGATTTTGAAAATCAAAATATAGACAAGGAAACAGATATATCAGCCCTTGATGAAGGTAAAAGGAGTTCTCCTACAGTAATGCCTTTGGATTTGGAAAATGAAAATCCCTGGGGGAAGATTGATATGCCAACCCTTGAAGGTGGTGGTTTGTGTTGCTTGATGGCTTCACCAGGAAACAGTCCAGCAGATGCTTCGTTTCTGCAGTTTCTACAGGTTAGAACTTGAAAGTGCCTTTTTTTTTTCCTTTTAATAATTACATAGAAGTAACATGCTTTGCAGTTTTAAACCCGGTCATATGGAGTATAAATAGAAAACGCACTGTTGATTCTTATATCAAAATTATCCTTCTTGCAGCTAAGCCCTAGACAATTGGAGCTGGAAGCATTCCTGGAGCTAGGGGACATCCTTAACTCTCCGCCTCAGCCACCTGCATCTACAATCACCGAGGAAGTCCCTAATTATACGGGCAGTGGTTCTGTGTCTTATTGAACACATCTGTTATTTCCTATATATCTGCCCTATTCAAACTGTTGTTACTATGTGGCTAATGTTGCCACCTTGTACCCCCAAATCTGCTACCCATACAACTTATGCTGCTCTAGTTGTTCGATTTCTTGCATGGTATCTGATCTGCACATTCACTCTCTGTATAGTGGATGCTACTGAGTTTGATCAGGCCACGCAGCTCCGGGCTGTTTAAAGCCCATGCCTTCTAAAGTTTGCGGCTATATCCAAACATTAAGAGGAAGATTTTATTACTAGTAGTAAAAGATGCTTGGTTTTGTCCAAGAATCCCGATGCATTAGCTGCTGTCCAGTTCTGGATTTGTTAAATAGAAAGTACTTAGTAATTCCTATATTCAGTTGCTTGGGTTGTTTTAGCTGCATGTTACTTAGTGTGTGAAGGGGGATTTGTAACAAGTGAAAACAGCTCGTATGAGCTTTGTATCTAAATGTGTCAGCTGTGTTTCAAAGATCAATGAGCAAAGAGTACGTTCAATTGATATATTCCTGTTCTGGTTTCTTACATTATTTAAACTCTGGCTTGTCGAGTGTGAGCATTGAGTGGCGCTGAAAGCATATACTCATTATTTACTCATTCAAACATTGAACAGATGTGTTCAGCATTCTGGCCTGGAGAATGGCGATGATACTGTCGTGGTTGAGCTTTCCTCATGGATATGTAGTTGAAAAGCTCATTTCGAATGTTATATGAATCCTGCATGGTTGTTGTTAATATCTTTTGAGATAGAAAGTAAAAAGTAAAAAGAAAAAAGAAAAGGTGAAGCTCTGATGAAGAGAAACCTAAAAATCAAACTTGTAAAATTAAGTAAACTGGATCTGGAATCGAACAGGACTACTGTAGGAAGAGGATACTGATTGTACTGACGCCTGCCATTAAAGCTGATACCAAAGCTCCCCCAAAACAGACACCCCAGCACCACATGTAGAACATTTAATATAATCATTGATTTCAAATAAATCTTTTTTTTTTTCAACAAAATAACACAGTTACAAAAAGTCTTGACAAAAATAACACAATTTGTGCTTATCTTGGTTCCACAATGTGGCTTATAAAAAGGTTGTGATTGGCATTCTAGTGCTTGGTCTAGTGGTGGAAGGGGCTTGTCTCCTTCCACTGCATCTGGGTTCGAGCTCTGGCGTGCACGCCTGTCACCTCCGCGGTGCCTTACATGCCTACTGGGTTTGCAGGGTATGCAGTGGGCCGTGGGAATTAGTGGCGGTGCGCACAAGCTGGCCCGGACCCCCCACGTTAAAAAAAAAAAAGGTCGTGATTGGGAAACACCGCAATAAGAAAACGTCAAGTTTTTCAATTCATGATTTGTTTTAAAAAAAAACAACATATTGAAAAGGGAGGTTGGAGTTTAAATCGTAACATGTTGCGATCACGAATCATGACAGGGTAAGATGTTGTAATTAAGAATCGTGACAGGTTGAAACTATACCATTTTGCCAATTCTCTTTTTTTAAACTACGCTATTTCATCAATGTTTTTAATTTATTGAGATATTTTTTTTCAAAAACATATTCTTAAAATTCAATGATGTGCAGTATATTAGAGGATAGACTAGATTATTTTCCATGTTTCGCTACGGGTCAAATTAATTTTTTTAAATATAAAAAAAAACTTAAATATTGTTAATGTGTTTTTTAATAAAAAAAAATTAAACTATAAAAGAATTGATATGATATAATATAATCTAATCAACTTGACAAGTTCAAAGACAATTCAGACAACTGATAAAAATATAATTTCACTGAAAAAATCAACATAACATTTTTTTTTCAAATATTAAAACAATAACATATTTAATTGACTCAAATGAACTAGGGTTAATCTGCCAAATTTGTTACTCAAATCATACGACAATAATAACTTTATAGAAAACAAATAAAATTATTTTTATTAAACTTAATTCTCAATTAACCTGATGTTAAAGGATGAAATTAAAAAAAATAACAACTAAAAAAATGAATCATGTCAACCCAAATTCATTTACCAAACCTGGATCATGATATTGAGATTATTTCATATAAAACAAATTAAAACAAGTTATAAAACTCAATACTCAATCAACTCAATGTTAAAGGATAAAATTATAAAAATATCAATTAAAACAGGATATTAAAAACTACGTGAGTTAATTGATCAAACCCATGACCGAGGTCATAAGATTGAGATAATCTCATATAACACAATCTGAAAAAAATATGAAGCCTAATTTAACCTAATATTGAAAGATGTAATTGAAAAAATAAATCAACTAAAAAAATGATAAAAAATCAGATCCAACTGTTTAACCCACGATCCGGGTCATAAGACAGTGATAATCCATAGAAAGCAAATAAAAAAATTTATAAAGCTCAATTTGTAATTAACCCAATGTTGAAGGATTAAATTAAAAAATAAATAAATAAAAAACAACGTATAAAACTCAAGTTAAGAGACTATAGAAAGAAAATAAAAGGCAATTATAAATTTTAATTCTCAATCACCTAATATTAAGTATGAAATTGAAAAAAATATTCAATTAAAAAAGACAAAAAACCCTGAGTTAACCTGTTTAATCTGTAAAATTTACAACTTAGATTATGATATCGTGATAACCCTATATAAAGTAAATCAAAATAAATTATGAAATTCATAAAAATTTAATTTTAAAGGAAAAAAAATAAAAAAATAGGTTTGAAATTAAAAGAAAAAAGACCTAAAAAATGTCGAGGACCATAGTGAAAATAGCCTTGACATTTCACTATTCATTGCTAAGTGAAATGCCAAGGTCTATTAGCATATACTAAGCTTCTTTTTCTTGCATTATGCTGGAAGTTGAGTCAAGTTTTTTTAATGTCAAAAAAGATATTCAGGTGATAATAATTTGAATCAACTTGAGTTAACTTGATAAATATTAAGATATGAGATTAGGATGCTCTATAAAATAGAAAGTGAACAAAAAAACATAAAAAAAAAATTCAAAGAAAAAACCCGAGTCAATATAGGTTAATTCTACTAACCCGTCACCTGAGACATGAAATCAATATTAAAAATTTTATTTTAAAAAAAAATAACCTAGAAAAAAGGATCAAAGTTAAAAAATATAAAATTGAGTTACCTTAATTTTACCTGACTAACCTGCGACCTGAAATAACCCTATAAAAAGAAAACATATATATATAAAAAAAGCTTAAGATCCAATAGCCTAAAGACACGAGATGAAATTAATTTTTTTAAAATGATATTAAAAAAATAATCTAAAATAACTTAGATTAACTTGGCTAACCTGCAACCTAAGATAACCCTATAAAATTAGAAAATAAAAAAAATAATCAAAAGAACGATGATCAAAATTAAATAAAAATAATAAATGAAATAAAATATTGGTAGAAAAAATTAAAAAAATAAGAAAAATAAAATAAAAAAACAACTGAAAAAATAAGGATCAAAATTGAATTAAAAAACTAAGTGAAATCAAATATGGAGGGAAAAAAATTAAAAAAATAAGAAAAAAATAAAGACCAAAATTAAATAAAAAATTAAAATAAACTATTATAGGGAAAAAATTGAAAAAATATACAAATTAAGACAATGATTAAAAAATATATAAAAATAAGTGTCATATTTGATATAAAATTCAAATAAATCCAAATAAAAATGGATGAAATAAAAAAAATCAAAATAAAATAAGAAAACCAATAAAAAAATGATGACCACAATTTTAAAAAACAAGTATGAAATTTGATTGACTCGACGTGGAAATCAAAATAAATAAATAAAATGACCACAACTGAGAGAGAAAAGAGAGGGAAAAGAAAAAGCTCCTGCAGCGCCGAACTACTTCAAATTGGACTACATGTTCCATCCCATTAGTTTTGTCGCCGTTGGAAGCTTTCAACAATGCAATTTTGGTCGTCGGAATATGTCATATGAGCTTCTTGAAGGACACAGACAGCATTCATTCATTGGCACATTCGTACCACGTTTCTTTTATTTATTTATTTATTAAACTACTGATGTGTCCATAATTCAAATAGATTATAAAAAAAAATGAGAAAAATACTGAAATATCTCTTGACCCCTTCTTTAATTTTCTTGACTTGAAGAACAATGTAGTAATCGTGTTTTTTTTTGAAAAAAACCCAGAAATGATGCAAAAATCCCTCTCATCTTTTATTTTTATGTTAACATCTTAAAGGTATTTATGTAATTTAATTGTGTGAAAAAGTTAGTATACTGTTATACCCTCGATTAATTATATACTACCATATGAATCCTCTTAAAAAACCATCGTACTCCATAAAATGGTTATATGGTTATTTGTTTGTTGTAATAAAGGATATCATTTTATTGTTTCAACCTAAGATTAAATGTGTATTGTTAAAAAAGTAAAGAGGCTGAGGACCTGTTTTTAACTAGATTAGCAAGGCAATTAAAATTTTTAATCAATAGATCAATTGAATTTACAATTATTAAATCCGGACTAATTTAGGAGGTAAACTTAATGACTGGACCGGTTTAAGTTTGTTAACAGATCGTTCGGTGCAACAACTTAAAAAATATGGTCGATCCGAAAAGTAATTAAAAATTTTTAAATATGGTTTTTCTCTTGTACATCTCTTTTTTCATATGTTTTTAATTAGTTATTAATATTTTTTAAAGTTCATTATATAAATATTAGAAAAATATTTTATTTTTTTAATATGGGATTTGAAGCTTTTTCGTAAATATTTTCTATATTCATAAGAAAAAAGTTATATTTTTTCAATGTGAGATTTGAAATACTTTAATATATATAATCTATATTTCTATTTTTTTTAATATGAGATTTGACATCCTTTTATATATATATACTCTATGTTCATAAGAAAAAAATTATATTTTTTTAATGTGAGATAAAAAAATATTTTACTTTAAATACTTTAACATAAAAGGATAAAATAATATCTTTTGTTTTTTATTGAAGCCCTTTAATATTTATACTCTATGAGTCTATGTTTCCAAGAAAAAAATTATTTTTTTAATGTGGGATTTAAAACTTTTTAATATATATATTCTATAAGTCTATATTTGAAGTCTTTTCGTATATATAGCTCTATGTTCATAAAAAAAGATATGTATGTTTTTTCAATATGGGATGTGAAACCCTTGTGAAACCCTTTAATACATATATTCTATATTTATAAAAAAAAATTATGTTTTTTTTAATATAAGATAAAAAAAACTTTTACTTTAAATACTTTAACTTAAAAGGATAAAATGATATATTTTCAGTGTGAGATTTGAAATCTTTTAATAAATATACTTTATGTTCTGAAATTTTTTTTTTTTTCAATATAAGATTTAAAATTCTTTTGTATATATACTTTATGTTTACAAGAAAAAAAATTATACTTCAACTTAAAAGGATAACATATTATCTTTTTAATGTGAAATTCAAAACTCTTTAATATATATACTCTATGTTCACAAGAAAAAAATTATGTTTTTTTTAATGTGTGACTTGAAACCCTTTAATATATATAGTGTATGTTTCCAAGAAAAAAAAATTACTCTTTCAATGTGAGATTTGAAGTTCTTTTGTTATATACTTTATGTTCATAAAAAAAAAATTATTTTTTTCAATATAAAATTATTTTTTTGGTTTAAATACTTTAATATAAAAGGATAATATACTATCTTTTCAATGTGAGATATAAAATCCTTTAGTATATATACTCTATGTTTATAAGAAAAAAGTTATGTTTTGATAACGTGGGATAATTTATTTTATTTTAATATTTTAATTTAAAAGGGTAATATAATATTTTTTAATGTGAAATAATTTTTTTAAAATTTATTATTTATAACATATATAGCCTATATTCATATAAATTTTTTTATATAAAATATTAAAATTTTAAATATTTTTAAAAATTTTTAAAATTAATTTAGATTAATATAGGTAGATCTATAAAACTAGAGACCTAATCTTTTTACATGTTGAACTTTCCAATCAGATAACTACGATCAAATTTGAAGAGAACTCATCATATAACTTCAAGTTGTACTATTATTATTGTGATAATTAACTATTAATGGATATAAAACATATTTGTTTATGCAGTTAAATTATATTTTTTTTAAATTTAAATTTTTTAGCTTTTAATAAACTAAAATAAAAAAATAGAAAATATTAAAACCAACATCTAACACCCTCCAACCGGCTATTATAAGGCATTGTACGAACATAGAGGACACGGTTTAACATGGGACCCACTTATCTAAAAGACCAATGACAATGGAATGAAAACTTCTCGGGGAAGTAGATTCTGTGCGGGGGTTGATGTCTTGACTATAAAAGCACGCGCTCCACTACTCTACCTTTGGCCTACATAAAGAAGACGCCCCTTCATCCCGCAGAACCACAGCTTCTTGTGCACACCACCTGCTTTCTTTCCTGGTTATTTGCCTCTCCTTAATTCACTTTCTTGTACAAAATACGGTGTAGTTGCACTGCATCTTATAAATACATGTTTATCTTGCAATCTCCAAATACGGTGTAGTTGCACTGCATCTTATATATACATGTTTATCTTGCAATCTCCATTGCTTTAGCAATTTAATTTGTTTTGTTTTGCCTCCTTTTTTCTTCAGTTGCAAACAACCTGATCAAGCAAGGATGACAAACAGAGCTATATCTTTCCCATCATCTCCTGTTGGCTATGTATTTCGTCCGACCGATGAAGAATTGGTGAATCATTACCTGAGGTTAAAAATGCATGGCGGCTATGAACAAGAAGTCAGCATAATCGCCGAAGTTAGTGTGTGCGATTTTGAGCCTTGGGTACTCCCTGGTACGTGTTCATGTGTCATGTGCAATGTTTTGAATTACTTCCCCGTTTATCTTTGTTTGCAATTGTCGATTAACAAAAACTCATGTTAATGCGCGCGCAGGGCTTTCTACATATCAGTCAAACGATCCAGAGTGTTATTTCTTTTGTCCTCGCAGTTACAAGTACGTAAATAGTCACCGGGCTAATAGGACAACTGAAGCTGGATACTGGAAAGGGACCGGCAAGAATCGTAGAATCATAGCTAAATCTACCAAAGAGCATATTGCTACCAAGAGGACTCTGGTTTTCTACGAGAATCGTGTTCCTAACGGGGTCAAGACTGATTGGGTCATACACGAGTACCATCCAACTTTCAGCTTCCACAACCAGGTACTGTTAAGCTTCACTTAATTTGTTCTATGGCGTTTTATCCCTTTTCATTCCAAAAAGGAGAATTGGATTTGAAGGTATAGTAGAAGAGAAAGATTAACAGAAATGCATGAGATCAGGCCCATTGATCACGCTTTTGTGTTTATATATATATATATCAGTCACCTAAAATGGTCACTGGCTAGACTTGAAATACTCTTTTCCCGTTATATACAGGTGATTTTGTTTTAATGATGGTGTTTTTTTTTCGCCCCGAGAAGCTTGTTTATAAGAACTCCCTGAAAATTTTAGTATTTTCTGTTCTTTTCTTTTCATTTTTATTGATAAAATAGAATTTTAATTATGCTATCAAAATATGGTTTGGTCACCATGTGTAGAGGGACTTCGTTCTCTGCAAAATGAAGAAACATCCAGATGAGAACATGTCAACATTTGAAGAAAGTGAATCAAGATCCAATGTTCCTTATGGTTTTGGAAATCAAAATCCAACTGTGCGTGATTATCCCCTGATCTTTGAAGAAGGTGGACATTCTGCCCAGATGGCTTCTAATTTAGCAAACAATAGGCTAGAGGTGGGAAATAGCACGAATTTAACAGGCAGTTTCTTATGGAAAATTATTTCATATTAAGAGAATATCAAGCAATTGTGTTTGTTTTACAGGAAGAGATCAATCAACTCCGAACACAACTGGAATCATTCCGTGGCTTTGATGATGGAGATTTCGGCCTGAATACTGCCCTGCAGTTTTCACCTGAGAATTATATGTAAACCCTATCCTGCAATGGGTTTTCGATCTTCCATGTCTATCAAACTTTGCTATATATATGTATTAAACCTAGCCTGGAATAACAGAGTTCATATGTACCGGGTGAAGTGTGGTTGATCATATGCCATAAGAACAACTTGCCTCAAGTTGTTCTTTATGGTGTTTCTCCATGTTTGTTTTTTCCCAAGAGCAATTGAATGCATTTCAAGTGTGCTCAGCTTTGTTTTTGTTTATAGACTGGTAATTGTTGATTATTTAGCTGTAGTCAGCGTTGGAAAAGAAGGTTGGTGAGAGCAGGAGGAGGAGGATGGGGGAAGCATGGTGGAAACTCCCTCGAAACCTCCTGGAATCACGAAATTAGATTAGAATGATCTCGACACGGTAACGGGGTAATGATAATAACGGTTGTTTTTTTTTAAAAAAATATTAATTAATCCCTTTTTTAATATAATTACTAACAGATTCCATTAAAAATACCTTCATATCTCTAAACCCAAACTTATCCATCAAGCATAAAATCAAGCATTCACAATGCGGATTGACTGTGAAAGTCAAATCTCTTGCACTGAGAGTATAATATAACTACTGTACCTTTTAATGACACAGTAGCGGGCAACTTCTTCGTCCCGGCTGAACTAGGACCCATGCCATTGAATGGTGGGGTCCCTTTTTCTACAATATGTACGGCATTTCTTCCACTCCCATGGCTTCTCAATAGAATCTCTTAGTCAATCTCAAGTCAATGCTTTCTTGAAGATCACAACAGAACAACACAAGACACCCTCCTCCTTGTCTCTCAATCCACAACCTGTTTTAGGACGAGGAATGAAACTGCCTTCTTGTTAGTAGCCCTGCTTCTTGTTTTATTTGCAACTTTGCTTTATTTCTACGTTCAACTAGCACTTTTAAAACCAGTAATTGTATGTGATGGCGCCGGTGGGATTCAGATTCCATCCAACTGAAGAAGAAATCATCCGTTATTATCTGAAACACAAAATGGACGGCCGTGATTTCCTCGTTGATGATCATATTGGTGAGGTTGATCTTTATCGGCGGGATCCATGGGAATTACCTGGTTAGTACCACAAACGTTGATGATTATTTTTGATGAAGCAGTGATGATTATTACAAATATGCTAAGTTATTCTTGGTAATTAAATCCACACTTTCTCGATAAATCCCAATGTCTCTTTCGTGTGCATCTGCGTGATCATTTGTTTGTAGATTCTGCGAGAATAACGTCAAATGATCGAGTGTGGTATTACTTTTGTCGGCTTGATTACAAGCACTCAAATAGTAAACGAGCTAGTAGGGAAACCAAGAATGGATACTGGAAATCGACCGGCAAGGTTCGTGATATCAAGGCTAGACGCACAGGTGAGGTGATTGGTACGAAGAGGACTCTGGTTTTCCAATACAGACGTCCTGATTCTAAAAAAGTGGTCGGGACCAGCTGGGTCATCCACGAATTCCATGCTAGAACTTCCACTCCCGACCAGGTATTATATAATACCATATAGTGTATATGGGATCATCACATTTTCTTTTCTTGGCATCCTGGGGTTAGGGTTTGACCGTGTTTTGTTATTTGGTTGCGTGGAAGAAGTTAGGGTTTTGGTGTTCGATGTCGTGCTTAAATGGCATTGAATTATAGCTACATTCCATGTTAATGTTGGATATTGCTCGCGTTAAACTCCAACCAGTTCATCTTGCTCAACATGGGGTGTGTTTTGCTACTCTTCATTGCTTTTGAGTCATATGAAAGTGTTTTCAATGTGATTAGAAGAATGTCTGCTACATCTATGCTTGTTTGATGCTTGAGTTCTTATTTGTGTTGTTCTATCCTGGAACTGTGTTGATAGACTGCTGCTTGAGTTCTTATTGTTTTCTAGTTCTTTTTTTTTCTTCTTTTTCTGTAGAGGGCTCTTGTTCTTTGCAAGTTAAAGGATAAGGCAGATGACTCGGCTGCTAATTTGCCTGATGATGAAGGTGAGCCTATTCTGGTTATGGGTTCTAATGTTGAAAATAATGCGGTGCTGAATAACAACCAAGAGGTGAGATGGAGCATTCCCTATTCCAATTTTTATAATATAGTTTTTCATGTGAAGCATTAGAAGCATATGTGTTTACTTGCTTATGATTCTGATTCCAGGTAGATGCACTGCAATCTTTCATTGACAATCATGGGGCAAGTTTTGGTTTTCTTTCTGCTCTGCAGTCACAGAACCATGTGCAGAATAATAACCAAGAGGTGAGATGGAGCATTCCCTATTCCAGTTTGTACAATATGGTTTTTCATGTGAAGCATGAGAAGCATATGTGTTTGCTTGCTTATGACTCTGACTCCAGGTAGATGCAGCGCTACTGCAATCTCTCATTGACAATCATGGGGCAAGTTTTGGTTTTCCTTCTGCTTTGGAGTCACAGAACCATGTGCAGAACAATAACCAAGAGGTGAGATGGAGCATTCCCTATTCCAGTTTGTACAATATGGTTCTTCATGAGAAGCGTATGTGTTTACTTGCCTATGATTCTGAGTCCAGGTAGATGCAGAGCAACTGCAATTTCTCATTGACAGTCAAGAGGCCGGTTTCGATTCTCCTTCTGCACTGCAGTCACAGAACCTTGATGACCTTGATGAAGAGGATGTGATAGATTTTGCAGATTCTCTCCTTATTGCTCCAGATGAATATGGCGTTGAAATTCCTCCACACCTCCTAAATGATTACACCCCACCAACACCAAGGTCGTCAAGTAATGCTTATGTTTTGGATAGCAGTGGCAGAGAAACTTATCTTGGCTATGGAGAGGTAATAGAAAATCTCTAATGGCCACCTTCAGTAGCGCCTAGTTCTCTCAATAATTATACAAGAGAATGTTAATGGGAGCATTGAAGTAGTCTGTGATTTGCTCATTATTTCAATGCCACCAAGGACATTCTCTACTGTCATGAAAGATCTTAAGATGAAGTGAGGATTTTTTTTTATGCTTTCGTGCACAGGTCAACCATTCTGAATTTGCTGCATTTATGGGCTGGATGTCATTTGCATTTCATATGCAGTTTAGTTCTTTTGAGGATACTTCGAAATTTAATTCGTCTGTTTGTATCTTCATGACAGTCTCCGAACTTGTATGGTGGGCACGGTAGTTCAAGGGCATACCGGCAGAGGCAAATGGCTCATAGTGATGATACCCTCTTGATGGGGCCATCTTCCATGGATTCCACGACTGTAACTAGGCATGAACAGATTAATTTAATTCAATCAGACTTTCCAAGGATCCACAAAGCTCAGCATGCACCAATACCCCACAGCTTCATGGAGCACGAGGGAATTTCTGCTAAAGGAGATCAATTGCTGGGTGGGATTTCAAGCACAGCATCCAAACATAAGGTGAGGATCTTAAATTGGAGGACGAAAAACATGGAAGCGACTTGTGTCTATCTAGTGAATGAAATTAAATTCTTCCGGTATATCTTTGCAGGCCAGAGAAGGTGCAAGGCAAGTTGTTAATAGTGGTCTGCCTAAGAAGGTTGGCATAGAATCTGTAAAAGACAGGAAAATAGTTCAGGTTATGAACGCAAAGCCGGCTGTGAAGTCGAGATCAAATGGCTCGGCTGGCAATGAAAGGTGGGGCCGTTTCATTCACCTTGAAACAACTACATCAAGCCATACATCGACTCCTCCATCTGTTTATCTTTTCAATTTAGTCCTGGGTCTGTTTCTGTTCTTAATCATGCTCAGAGAAGTGCTGATTGTTCACTGAGAGAAGCTTCTCTTGTAAGGCTATCGTCAAGAGTTTCCAGTATAACAAGAACACTTTATTTTTTGCGAGAAAAGGTCAGCAAGAGGAGGACTTGAAATCCCAAAATATTAAACCCTCAACCGGCTGACAGAATGGATTTCTGTTTTTGCTAGCTTGTATATATATTGCCCCTTTCTCATGGCTGCCGGGGCTAGACTGTAGTTACTGTTTGCTGTATAAATTATATTATGTTATAATTATTACAAGAAAACTCTAAAGAGCATGGGTTTTTCAATGTAGCAAACTGTGGTGTCTACTGTTTTTTTTTTGTTTGATTTCATCCTCAATCTTTGTTTCTCTTCAATTGTGTTCTTCAATGCCTAAATTCATAGCTAATTTATGTAAAATATTCAAGGAGGGAGAAGATTAAAAATATAAACCGAGGAAATAAGTGGTGGTTTCAAAAATTGAACAAAAAATACATTTCAGCACTCAATACTTTTTAAATAAATATTTTTAAATATATTTTTAGAGTTTATTTTTTAAAACTATTATTATTTTTTTAAAAAAATTATGTAAATATATAAGAATTTCTAAATTTATTATAAAAAACTTTTTACATCTACGGGTTATTTTATCTTATCAGATATAAGTACAGGCTACCGCCAGTAAGCTGGGCTCAAAAGGATCAAACAGAATATCAGATTTGGTTTCACAGCATCAACTCAAGGAAATAATGAGACATAATGACCAAAAATGGTATCTGAAATGAAAAGGAAAAAAAATACCTTTTGAGCGATCAAGTTTGGACTCTGCTCAATTTTTTTTTTTAAAAAAATCAGACCAGACATAATGTGATTTTATTTAGATTTTAGTTATTACAGTGGTAAAAAATTTAAGGTTTAAAGTTTTTTTTATTTAAAAACTTGTTTTTTAATTTATTTTGATTTAAAAACTTAAAAAACACTCTCTAGATACTGTAATAAATCTATTTATGCAAAAATCAAAATTAATTTAAAATAAAAAATCTTTCTAAGTTAAAATTTATTTTTTCATGCACTTCAAAGTTAAAAAAAACTTAATATAAACTCCTCTCGTCAAATAAAACTATTTGACACAAAATATTGATATTTCAATTGATGTTAATGTTATTTTTTCTCTTTTTAGTGCTAGAATTTAGCGACCTTTTTGTCTTCATTCTCAAACCAGAAACTAAAAATAATAAAAATAAATTTTTATACTAAAATTAAATTAAAAAAATATTAAAGCATCAAATATGGATAATTTTTAAAGTATGAGGATTGAATTAAATTTTTTGTATGAATTTTAAAACTATCACCTATTTATGGTGTTTTTTCTACTTTGATGCCATGTCTTTCAATTGTATTTTTAGTTAACAAATTTGATTCAATTACCCTTGTATTTAGCCCAAAAAGTTGCAATTGCATAAATAAAAATTGAAGATGAAATTTAAAAAATATTGTGAATAGCAGGTTCATAATGAGAGGGTGCACAATGTCATCTCAATAGTAATGATTCCACACGTTGTAGTTTTTTACTTATAATAATTTCATTTAAGAAAAATCATTAAAATGACTTTATTTTGAAATTTACCAATATGAGACTTTAACGTGTAAAACCCCAAACAGTTACAATCACTGTAATCTGTAGGGGTTGTTTGATATTGTGTTCCAAATAATATTTTTATAAATTTTAATTTTTTTTTATTTAAAATTATTTATTTATATTTTAAAATTGTAATTTTTTTATTTTAAATTATTTATTTATATTTTAAAATTTTTTTAATGCATTAATATCAATAATAATTTTTTTAAAATAAAAAAATATTATTCTAATATATTTTTAAGTAAAAAATACATTAAAAAATAACCACAAAAACACTCTCAAATACCTTTTAAATATTCATTTGATATTAAAATTGAATCTGCTTTTTATTAAAATTTAATTGTTTTATTTTATTTTTTTTTTAAAATATTATTTTATCATTTTGATATATTGATGTCAAAAATAAAATTTTAATAATAAAAAAATATTATTTTAATATATTCCTAAGAAAAAATACTTTAAAAAATAATCTTTATTATATTTTCAAACACCCTATGGAGCAAAAAAAAAAAAACATGTAGGTAAAGGAATGAGATTAAGCGATCAATAATTATATTTTCAAAATACTTTAATACTTGTGAGATCGAAAATTTAAAAGAAAATAAAAAAAATGGACAAACTTGCCGAGGAAGTTTTATGCCAAGGCCTCCTAGCTCTTTTCGGACATGGACAACTTTTAAGTTATGGTAATTTCAAAATTTCAAATGAAAAAGTATATAAAACGTTTTTGTTAATTACCTTCTGCACTAAATAAATTGAACCTGGTTTTTTTTTTTTCCATTTTTTTCTTGTGTAATCTAATTAAGAAAATTAAATAAATCTGATCACACAAAAAAAAAAGGTCTAATAAAAGTCCTTATTTTGTTTTCATCCAGCGATCTTGTAATTCTTAAAAAACACACTTGGCAGCTTCGTAGTGAAGAGTGGTAATTTGGACCCGGGGGTTTGCTAGGACACGTCACTGGAGTAGGGCTCCAGTTGATTCAATTGTACTCGAAAATGTGGCTTTCCCAAATCCGAATCCAATTTTTGTTAGCCATCTGACCTAGTCATTCTCCGATAGCTTCTCGAGCAAGCTCGGCCCTCTTAGCTACACTTGGATTCGGATTCCGCCCAGCTGATGAAGAAATCATCAGTTACTTTCTCATGATCTCATCAAACACAAGATGGATGGTTCTGATTCTTCTGTTGACAATGACATTCCTGAAGCCGATCTTTTGCAAGTTTGAGCCTCGGGGATTACCGAGTAAAGTCTAAAGACCTCCATCTTTTTTCCCCTTGTTTTGTTTAAGAATCTTCAACGTTTTGGTTGTTTCTTAAGCTCTTCTAAATAAGTATAGAAAGAGGGTGATTTTATGCAAACTCTTACGTGTGATGGACAATATGGACTGGACAGGGCTCCATATTACTGGATTGAACAAATAATTATATTTCATTGTGTTTGGTGCATTTTAGATTGAGTTGAATAATTTATTTTATTTTATGCTTGTTATATATTAGATGGGACTTGATTAACCTGAGATCTAGATAATTTTAAATTTAAAAAAGGATTGATCTGATCTAATTTGAATAAAAAATTAGATCAATCCAAAATAAAATACAGTTAAAAATTTTATTGATTTTTTTTATATATTTCTTTGGATAAAATGAGACTACTATATTTGTTTTTGAATTGGAGTCAATCTGACGATGTGAATTTTTAAATTGAGTTTTAAAATTATAATAATAATTATTTTTATTTTTATATTATTCTGAGTTAATTTAGGTTGGCCATTCTAACTTATGACCTAAATTTTATTTCAGGTTGACTTCTTAATTGAATTTTAAAATTATAATAATAATTATTTTTATTCTTACGTAGACTCATACTAGTAATTAGCCTAACCCATGATCTGAGCTGGTCTTGAGTCGTGACTCGAGCTTAGCTCTAGATCGATATCCAAGTTAGTTTATAAAATTATAATAATAACAACTTTTATTTTTATGTTAACCAAGATCAATTGTCAACACGACTCGTGACCAGAGACTGATCTTGAATCAATCATTGAGTCGAGTTTTAAAACTGTGATGATAACTCCAGAGACTGATCTTGAATCAATCATTGAATCGAGTTTTAAAACTGTGATGATAATTATTTTTATTCATATATTAACTCAAGTTAATGTTTTTGATTAGCGACCCAGACTTTATCTTGAGGCGATCTTTAAGTTGAGTTTTACAAAAGAGACCAATTGAATTTTCTACTTGTGTATAGGAAGTTCGTTGAGGTGATTAAACAAAATGCAGCGAGTAGGAGTTGTTTCAGTGTATGATTTTTGTTTGTTCTGTGCTCTTTTCTTTCCCTTCTTCGGCCATAGAAATTTAATATCATGTATAAGCGGCTCACATTCATGCAACTCACTGCCGCATGCATTGTTTTGTTCTTGAACTCATGCAGAGGGCTCTCACTATTTGTAAATTGAAGGAAAAGGGGGATGGGAGTACTGATATTCAGACCTGTGATGAAGGTGAAACGAGTAGCACAGGAACTGAAACCAACTCAATTACTTTTTTTTTTCTTAAATCTTAATTTGAATAGCAAATTGAATTCATTTCAAAGAACAGAAAGAAAGACATGAAAAACTTACAAATGAAATTTCTCCCCAGCTGAAAAAATAGAGATAGAACAGACAACTAGAATGAGTGGTCATCTTGCTACCGATCTTGCAGTAGAGCAGTAAGATTAACTTTCATGGGAAGGGGTGCACGGAGCAAGCATATATGGTGGCTTGCAATTTAAACCATTCAGCTCTTTAACAAAATTGACTCCGTTGAATCACTTGCATTGATGTGGCTGCTATTTCACTGCAATGCTCTTAATCATTAAACGTTCACTGCTTTCTCCCAGGATACTTTGGTGCGTGCATGCTTTATCAGCAGCTTCGTCACTCCAATAACTTGGAAGAGCGCCTGCTTTAAAAAGACTCAAGCAGCTTTGAAGGGGCTCCAAGACACAATCACATTTCCAGAATGTTGATTTTTGCAATTTTGGCAATTAAATTTGCACAACTCATGTTCAGCAGTCAACCAAAATTGGCATTTTAACCAAAATGGCTAGCGTGTCATGATGTGCTTGAATACGAGGAAGATGAACAATACTAGATGATTTAAAATCTCAATGATATCTGAGTGGATATCTGAGTGACAAGCAACTTAACAGCACGTGCACAGAAGCAGGCCGCAATGCATCTATTCATAGCTGGCTCACTGAAAACTGCTTCACAAAAAGAGCACAAGCGTGTAAAACTATAATGCTCACTTCAACTTGATCAATAACCCACCAAGAATCCACTAAAAAAAACGAAAGGAAAAATAGAAAGAAAAGAAAAGAAAAATCAACTAGCAATGTTCTCACATTTGACAGAACAAATCCACATGATAAATGAACTTCACAAAAGCAGGAAAGCAGGCAATATTCTATGGAAATATTTGGGAACTTCAGTATTAAGAACTGAAACAGCAGAAAACTAGAATGAGTACTAAATTTATCCAAGTACATTTCTAAATATCTTATATGTCAATTGGAATATTTGAACCATCTGCTAATTGTGCATACAAATACCTGTGGACCTGGATACTCAGCTTTCAGCTAAGGATATTTTCAATATAACAAGGACCTAATAAATAAATACTTAAGATGTTACAGCAACCATATGCTGTATTTGAAGTATTGACAGTCCACACTTGGGATATATTTCTACATAATTGTCTAAATTTTTTGTTACATACTCAAACATAGACAACAGATTCATGCCAGTCCATGTAATGTTTTTCTGTAATTAGAAAAATCAGCATCTACACAATAATATAAGCTGAGACTTCTGTGAGCATCAACACAAGCATGATATAACAATAACTACTAGTATGGTGCTACCATAAAAACTGATGAATAGAGGTTAAGCATACTTGTATAGAATAAATGATTTATCTAACCTTTTAATGCCACCATGTTGGATGATAAAACAAATAAATCAATGATGAAAATTACAGAAAATGGAAATTCCCAAACCTGAAAAATGAATATTCAGAAAAGTTAGATTAAACCAAACTTCATGCTTATGCATTGAACAAGAACCAGTGCTTAGAAGATTATAGAAGGTGAAAGTGTAAAAGTTATGTTCAATTTGCTTTTCATTAAGCCAAATTAAGAAGCCATACCATTGTGGCAATAAGAAAAATCTTGAAGTGACTTGAAACTAGGACTGCAAGCAAAATGTCTCTGCACCTGCCAACAGCAGCATGATAAATCTCAAAGTTGGTAACAAAAACAACTTTTCTCTATCTTGCCTTATTTTGGCCATTTCTCCTCAATGATCTTAGACATCTGTATCACCCAACTCTCTCATAAAAACTCCCAAACGAATACCTCTAACTTCTTACAATATGAATACCTCTAACTTCTTGCAAGTGCAAAATATTGAATTTCATTTTCTGATCAATCCATATAAATAATACTAAGATTCTAGTTTCAAATAGAGGATAGGTGTATGTATCGTACGTACAACAAGTAGTGACTGTTAACAGAAACCTAAACCTCTGCCACCATGTCTTCATCCATCCCAGTTAATTATTATTCACACATGAAACCCGTTTTTTAGATAATTATACTAGTTTAGAATTAAAGCCTCCCCCCCAGGCAATCTCAATTATGAGCTTGAACCAAAACAACAAGGAGCAGCACACATGGCAATTGCTATTAGGGCCTCACACCCTTAATATTGCAAGTCCAAGAAGAACATTAAAGAAATAAACAGCTTGATACTGAAGCAAACGTTTACCTGGAGATTTGAATCGATGTGTTAAGCAACAGCCTCATTGAAAGAAGAAAAACACAGATAAACATAAAGTTTCCAACAAAGACATCCACGAGTATCTGCAGAAGAAAATACTAAACCCACTTTTCAAGCAGCACATGTAATTCAACTCCAACTTTAAAACCGAAATTTATGTTCAATTCCCACCATCATTGCTAACCTCTTGGAATGTCGAAACAATTGAAGAAAAGCTCACGGAAGAACCCCACTCTCCCGCGTTTCTTTTCAAAAGAAGACTTCTATCTTTGATCATTAAGGCATACAACACCATTTCGTACCACAACTTTAAAGGAGTAATTAAGTATTCAAAGAAAATAACCAAGACAAGAAATGGATACTAGCATCCAAAAGAAGAAACACAAAGATTGACTTCCATAACAAACCCTGCAAAGCAGCCCTATGTTAGTGTTAATAAACCGTATTGACCAAAGCAATGATTACAAACACTGAAACAGAAAGTACATAATTAGCTATAAGCAATAATATCCTTAAAGCATCCTGGAAAAAAGTCACTATAAACTGTAAGAAGTAAACATAACTAAAGAAAGCAGTTTGTACCTCAAAAGTGACCCTACGCTGATTGATTACACTGAAGAGAAGATGTCTATACGATTTTGTCTTGTGCAGAATCAAATCAATCAAAATAATCTTCACCCATTAACAACCCCCCGCCCAAAAACAAAAAAATCTAAATCTTCACTAAAAAAAGAAATGATAAAAAACAATCAATAGCAAGTCAAGAATCAAAAGGGTATAAGAATTTCACCATGAATTCACATTCGATGTACTCGTCTGCAACTGCTTCGCAATTCGCCTGCAACAGGAACATATTTTTTCTTAAAAAAAAGGTAAAGTTGGGAAATTTAAAATGGAAAATAAAATTTATAAACAAGAAAGAGGGAGATTTACACATCTCATGAGTTGAATGTTGCCCGGTGAGTATTGAACGAAAAGAGTTTCTATCGGGAATCCATACTCTGCACATCTATGCTCCATCTTTTTTAACTACTCTCTCGCTCCCTGAGCTGCATGCTTTCTGCAACTTTCCCCCCTTTTATTCCCCCCTTTGTTATATATATATAAATTTTGTGCGTGTTCTCTTCCAACCTTTATCTACTTGGGGCATAAGCCCAAATAAAATGGGTCTAATATGGACCTTGAATTTTCTGTAAGCGAATATCTTTCTTGTGGATGATTGCATTTTATTTTTTTGGTTAATGACAAAAAATTATTTCCAAAATTTTAACCATTCATGATCGTAAGCATATTCCATTCTAAATTTATAATTAAATTTTTGAGCTCGAAAGGAGATACTTATGCCGTATTCAAATTTCTAGAGACTCAGTAGCTGAATTTTGATTTTCAAATTCCTAGTTTCTGTTCGTGTTTTATTACTTGAACTAAAATAAATGTTTAAAAATGATCTTTTTCTCTATTTTTATGGAAAATCAACTTTTTAATATCTCTGTAGATGAACATTTCTAAAATTAAAACAACAAAAAATAAATTAAGGTTGAAAAGGGCCAAGATTTTTATTATTTGGTTTTTGTATCATTATTCTAACGTTCTCAATGCAAGTTCTCACCTCCCCATCCTTCTGTAATCAAGAGTTTGCGCGCACGCGCACACACATACACACGGAGACAGCCAGCCAGGGAGACGCCCTCCATCTCCTAACAAGACGAGCCGTACGTTGATGAGTTGTGTCAAGAATTTTGTCAGGCTCTGGGGTCAAGGCAAAACCCGAGCCTAAGATTTTCTCTCCAGACCTTTTTCAAAAGCGTTTCAAATCGATAGGAGACTAATTAATTTTATTAAGAACGCCTAGGAATGCCAACACTCATGCAAGCATAATTATACCCTCGATCGACCTAGCTGAAAAAGTCTTGGAAGTTACGACAGATTCTTGGTGCCTCGGATCACTCTGTGTCTGTTTCGGGCGTTGTCGGAGTAATTGATGGCTTGAAATTCGAACTACTCTGACCCTGTCGTTTTCTACCTCCAACCAATACTTTTGCTTCTTTTTTTTTTTTTTTTAATACCTTCATGCTAACTCTTTTTAATGAGCTACATGCTTTTAAGTTTATTACTTTTTATTTTTTTTAAAATTTATTTTTAACACCAATAAATTAAAACAATTTAAAAACACTAAAAATTTACTTTTAAATAAAATAAATTTAATTTTTTTAAAATAATATTTTTATCATAAAAACAAAGCAAGATTTAACATGTTTGATTTGATGAGAGGAATTATGGCTCTAATTTTTTTTTTCCCATCTTGTTATCTAGAAAAAAATAATCATCCCTCTAAATTAGTGTGGAGAAAAATTAGATAGGATGATTGACTACAGTGAATATTAGGAATTAAATTAGATTTGAAAATTCCAAATTCGATTAAAAAAATTCATTTTTTGTTAAAAAAATTAAATTAAAATCTAAGACAGCTTAGTGCTCCATCTACCAAAATAAGACGGAGGGGATTGATTAAGTTATTGACATATTAAAATCCCAATAATGGTTATGATTACATAACACTATATGATTTGTTCTAATTTATTCGATTTTGATAAGCTAACTGCTTATAATTACTCGCCATAATGAGCTAGCTAAAGCATTATATGATACAGACAGCCAGGTCCAATCTATCCTCCATCGACGCTGCTCTTGGACTGGACTCCTTGTTCAGATGGCTTGTCTTATGATGTGCTCTAATCTCAATAGTAAAAGATAGGATTACATGTACTCCATCAATGGGGGGTGGTCGATCGATAGTCTCAAGATAGTAAGATGGAGAAGAAATGGTGGCATGATCTTACTGTGATTTTAGCGCTAATATATTGTATATGTGCAAAGCGACCAGCAACAACTACGTGCAGAGTCTTAACAAATGATTACAGAGAATCGATGAAGACGAAAGCCCATCAATTCAGCTAGCGCAACCCAATGGCTTCTGATCATTCTCTCAAGTTATTTTCGTATTAAAGAAGTTAAAGCACAGGAAGAGAGGTGAACCAGAGAAAGGAGAAAGCAATAGGAGAGAAGGGCATGCGGTACTGGATGCATTAAATGCACAGAAACAAGAACGTGGTCCATGCAGGTTTAGCTACACATATACCTGTGCTGTCCATCACCCCCGTTCCTCATTTTGAGACTGGAAAAAAAACAAAGGACTAAACAGTGAAGCAACTTTAATCTCTTTTGCTTTCCTTTGTACCAGCTATGGCTCACACATGTAGCTTCTTTATCATCATCAATTATGCCTATTAAACCTAACCTACACATACTGTCTTTATAGGCCGGGAGGGGACTTCAATTCCAAGACTTTGAGCATAGGAATCTTGTGAGAGAAATCAATGAATCTCTTACTACAATAATTGGACCAAGTTGCTGATGAATCGTTATGTCAGTATATAATTGTGCCCATGGTGCTTTCTATATATAAATATATGTTTATTGCCCCAATACATCTCGCTGCATCCTCCATTCATTAGCTTTATCAGATGTAGTCTGATTATTTAGCTTTTAATATATCATGCACCCCGTCATTACTGAATTGTATGTGGTAGCTCTCTTTTTTCATTTTTTTTTTTTAATTTTGAGAATACTTGTATGGAGCATTATTAATTCAGTGCAAGCTGTGAGTGTACATGCCCCACACCATCAAGACGTATTGAATTTGGTCCGTGTTGTGTGCACCATCCCATAGCCCCGTTCTCTCAAGATCGAGCTAACTATACAGTTGCAGGAATATTGCATCAATGGCAATTAGGATGGGTAAGCATGCAGGCTGTTCTGGGTTTTCTCTCAATTATAAATGCATGGTACTGTAGACTCTAGCTCGGCATCTTTGAAGCATATCTACAAGATCAGACCTGGGACATAGACAAAGGGAAATCAGCAGTGCACCTCTATGTGCCTGTTTTCACCATTTATAGTTGTTCTTTAGCTCTATTTCTGTTCATCTACAGTATGGAATTTTAACTATATCTCAAAGCGTAGCTAGGTAGTGGCATGATTCCTACACGCGCGCGCACACACACACAAATAGCGGCACAATTCCCAACTTGAGATAATATAATATTCTGCATTGATTCGAGATTATTTTCAATGTAACGTTGCTTCGATCAGGAAAGCCGAATAAAAGCATATCTAAAGAAACAAGTGTACAGGTTTGAGGCCAAATTAGGTAAAAAGTACCCAAGAAATACAAGTGGGTGGCACGTATATGCCGTCCGTTTCTTTTGAAAGTACTCAGATACATGTGCATGTGTGCTGGTTTTAGAAATGAAGATTGAAGTTTGGGTGTGAGATTTATAAAAAAAATAAAAAAATAAAAAAATAAATTTTTATGATTACATTTCATGTATAATTAAATTATACCTAACTACTACCTTAACCACGAAAATTAAAACAAAAAAGCTAAAACAAACAACCAGTCAGCTGTCTACACCAGAAAGCTTGGCTTGGCTCATATGGCAAAGACCGATCAGTTGCAACCCCCTAACGGGTACACATTCTAGCTAGCTAGAGCTTGCCTTCGAACTCAGCGATTGCATTCTCATAATCAAACTGTAGAAGAAACATAAATTAAGAATATATCTCGAAATTAAACCACTGATCCGGATATAAAAAGGAACTTCTCAGCAATTTCTTGCACTAGGTTAGCTAGTTGGGATGGAAATTGTACATGCCAATTCCTCAAAAAATATATATATCATCGTTTTGTTATTGATGCAAAATGTATAATAGAGCATTTCTGATACGTGCAGCACGAGGATGATCGCTGTAAGATCATGTAACTCAGTTTAGGGCTGCACAAATCAAACTTAATTAAGAAGGAATCAATTAATGATGTATCATCTTGAATTAAGAAAACACTTACCGACAAGATGATCATATATAGAAGGAATGATAGATTGACAGGCTTATTTAATAACATAATCCCATTGTGCAAGCAACTGATAATATGAATTTAACAAGCTGTGAAAACATAAAAATGATGACATATATGGTTACCATGAATACCTTCCTCTACCTGCACTAAAATTAACACATCAACAACATATACATTAATTTTGCTACAAATCATAAGACACTTTGGAATCTGGTGGTTAGTGGATTTCCTCCCCACTGATCATCTGAGGTTTGAATTTGAGGGCAGGTCACAAGAAAGAATATATATCTGTGATTACATTAGTCTGGATGTGGATACCTTACTTAAAATATGATTAAGATAATATATCAGCTAGATTTGTTCACATGATTCTGATGAAAGAAGCATGAAGTATATATCTGCTCAGGATTTGGTTGATATCATATCCCATCATTAAATCTTCACTTTCTGTGATATATTCGATTTTGAATCTGTAATCCCCTATTGCATTTCATAATGAAAAACTTAATTCGTTATTTATCTCTAATCGTGGACAATATTTTCTAATTGGGAAAACATTCAACTAATTTTATCACCAATTCCCAAAGGTATTTTTGCCATGCAAAAACAATTGGAATCTCATACATACAAAAACATCGTTGGTCTGAAGAAGAAGAAGAAGAAATGTGTAATTATATAGCTTTATGGAGCAATTTTACATTGAACATACAGTAATTATCGAATAATATTATAGCTAATCAGCTGCTTAATTTGATTCGATGAATGTCTTCTGTTTTCTTTTAGTGAAAAACAGCTGGTTCCATACAATGGATCCATAGTCAATGGCCGCAATCACGTTTTTTTTTTCGTTGCAGCAGCCGTGCTTTAATGGCTTTTCTTCTTCTTCTTCTTCTTTTTCTACTTTTTTGGCTATCTTCTTATTAGCCAAAAGTTAATAAAATCTCCACAATTGTCTAAAAGTGGCCGTTTTACTGTCTAAATTATCAAAGCTTCAACTACTTAATTGAAGTCGTGACTCAGGTGTCCAAATCAATGGATGAGTTTTGCGGCTTCAAACAATATCTTAGGCACAGCAATCTCTTTGACCATAACGTCATGCTTCCCAAATTAATTATACCAATGCACATAATTAATTACATGTACTCATCGAATTACTAACAGTAATCACATGTGAAAGAACATGTAGTGTGTGTGTAGGTACACGCATACGCATTCCGACCAAAACATAGTTTTGGCTTCCAATCATGCATGTGCATGAATTGATCTAATTAACTTCTTCTTAATGTTCTTAATTATTACTATAATTGTTTTTGTTATATTAATTACAGTCATTTCTACCCTAATTGAGACTTGATTTGTTTGCAAAGATTTTTTGGATTCTACGGTAGGTGTTTTGTAGTGACCACATGAGGTGAAAAACTGCAGAGTTTCTGACAGAGACGCTATCCATCGAGCTTCCATAAAATGAAGAAACAATTCCAAAGATTTATAATATTTTTGAAGATTTAGGGGTCTTAACGTGGTCTCGCTTGAGCTCAATGCCCAAATTAATGATCTTTTGTGCAATTAGAAACAGAATATTTTAGCAGCTTCCCGAAGATATGATCTCTATAACATGATGAAATTTATTAGGTTTTGATGTATGAACAAAAACATCAAAGCACTGGGAGAAGATTTGTTGGCAGTGCACATACCATAAACGGAACTTTCAGGAACCATCCGTGAAGGCAGTAATTGTACCTTTGAAGTGACAGCAGTCTTGACCACAGACAGAGCCAAAGCTCACTACAAAATGTTATGGTTTGTGAAGATGCTGGTCATGTAAAGAAGGATGCATATTGAATCCCATATTCATCATCTGTACAGACACACACGCACAAAATGAAAAAAAATAAAAAGGGATCAATGTGTGTGTGTGTGTGTGTAAGTTCCGAATCAAATCGAACAAGGCTACGATTGTTAAATAGTAATCAGTAGAAATTAGATATAGTGCTTGGAGAAACTAAAAAGAAAAATCCAGAATTTCAAAGAGAAGCAAGGATTCATAACTCTTTCATGATTGAGAATTCGTATATAGAATGATTATAGAATCACTACAGTACTTAATTTCAGAGTTTCAAGAACAAACCAAGGAATTAAGAAAGAATTAATGCTTGTCGGATTTTGCAATAACAAAAACATAAAGTTGCTGAAGACCACCCCATTAATTTTTCTACCGCTAAAGTTAGAAAGGGTAGCCAATGCAGGCAATGTTAGAGCGAGCTAGATTCTAAACGAAGAACCATAAAATATACAAAGTAACCATCATATAAAAACTGAAACGCACAGAATACAGTGCTCTCTTTAACCTCAGATTTCCATACGCAAAATGGGCTTCAAAAGACATTAAACAAAGCACTTGACCGCTTAAAAAGATTCGGTGGTATCACGATACCTTATTGATAAATCTCTTTCAACACAAAAGCAGTTTTTGATTGTGTTTGCTGCAATCCAGACAAGAAGGTGGCTGTAAAAGAAACAATGTGTTGCGGAGAAAGAAATTTAACAATGCTACAGTAGTTTTTAAGATGTAGAGAGATTGATTAAAAATAAATAAAGTGAAAAAAAGAGTAAGAATACAGAAGCTAACTTTTACAGCTGCTGAAAACTTTCTGCGCGGAACCTGCAATCCAACTCAACTAACCATCACCAAGAATATTAACCCAATGAGGTAATACAAACAAAACAAAAAAAAAGAAGAAGAGAAAATAGGAAAGAAGTTTCCACTTTATATCCTTTCTCTAGCAATGTACCATAAAATGCTGTCATCAAGAGAGAGAGTAAGCTTGAAGTTGATGGCTAAAGAGGGAACAGAAATTAACCCAAACAAACTGGGGAGAGTCCATCGCATGTATAGAGTCAATATATAGCAATAAGTTAAGCCACCAGTCAATAAAAGAAAAACATTGATGGAAATATTCTGATATTTCTCTGTATATCTGTATTATACACAATTGAAGGAGTTTTTCGAACTCCACATTTCTTGCACTGCTCTTCCATCTTTTGATCTTCACAATATACCCAAAACCTCATCTTTTAATTTGCTGACAATATTTAAACAATCAACAAAAAGGAACTCAAAAAAGGCTAAACTTGAAAATTTCTTGAAAAGCCTCTTACCTACATCTAGTACCCATATTAAGAAATCAGATGTGAAGGAACAGAAGAAATGGTATCTTCATATGGATTAAAGATCTAGATCAAAAGAGAAGGAATTCTTTCCTTTCTTTAAAACCTCAGCTTGCATTGGGGCACTAGTGGGTGCCCTTAATTGGAGAGGAGGAAGGAGAGAAGATGAAGCCAAATGAGAAGAGAATGAACCCATTGTGCCATGTGCCATTGTGATGGAAGATGACTGATCTTCATCCTGTGTAGGACAATCCATGTTTACACCAAACAACCTGAGCCGCTTCCCCGCAGTTTTACCGTGAACAACTGGCACTGAATCTATCACCAGTGGGACATGACTTCCTCCAGCTTGTTGATGCATTGCCCCAATCTGAAGTGTCTCTGATGGCCTTAAGTAATACAGCGCTGAATTGCCATAACTAATCGTAGACGGTTGATGATAATGATTCTGATGATTACGATTCTGATGTTGCTGTTGTTGATAAGGATGAATGCTGTAATTCAAATGTCGCAATTGAGGTTGCTGCATGGATAAATTAGATTGGGGCATGGAGTACAGCCTGCCCCACCGCACTGACTGTGGATAGTGTTGCTGATTTTGGAGCTCTGAATGTGAGAATGTTGTTGGATCTGGTGCATTAGGCCTGCGTCTCCAGTCTATGAACAGACGGTGCTTGCCTGACTCACCAACACCGCGTTGGAACGACACAATATCGCCTGCATCAAGCCTTTTTTCTTTTACAAACCGGCTCCAACCTTTGGTCATTACATAGCTTTGACTACTGTTCCAATAAGAGTACCGGAACCGCCATGGCTTGCCGTTCCGGTCTTCAAAGTTCAAGAGGAGGCCTTTTTCATTCGATGAAGAATCGAGAGGGAAGTACCTCTCTGCGTGTTGCTTTGGTATAACAAGACGGTTTAGCTTGCCTACATCACTTGGGGTCACTACTTTGTCAAACATGTGCTCTCTCTCAATAGACTCTCTAGCACCAACAACAGCAGCGGCACTAGTGCTCTCAGTTTCGTTGTTATTTCCCAGTGATAATTCCATGAGCTCTAGCTTCTTATCAAAATTGAGAGATGGTTCTTGGGTTTTGCTATCTTGTTGTGACTGATCAAATGAACCAGGCCACATACTGTGGTGCTCAGGAAGAAAAGTTTTGTACTTGGTAGAAGAAGATGATGTACAAGGAGAAGAAAAGAGGAGCTTACTTGTCTTCACAGCTTCCTCTCCTTCTTGTTTCTCTTCCCCTTGTTCTTCTTTATCAAAATCCCCTCTTTCTCCTTCAACGAAGTTCATGATGACCCACTAAGAACTTCTTATGATCACAGTAGATCTTGAAGAATTGAAATCCAACAACCAAAATAGAAATGATGATTGAGGAGAAAGAAAGAAAAGAAGAAGAAAAAAGTGGGCTTACGACTTTTTAGCGAAATATTGAGCACAAACAAGGCCTTACCTCACCTGCTCTAGAGGATTTGGTTTCTTGTTTAGAAGATTTTCTCTTTCAAAATCTGTGAGGCCACAAAGAAGAGAAGCAAAGGGGGAGCAATCATCTAGCTCAATACAAACCAAAGAGTCGGTGCCTTCTTCTTTGACTAAAAATAAAATATAAAAACAAAACACTCAAAACCCTAAACTAGACAAGCCATACGGTAATTCAATATTAGAAAGAAAGAAGGCAAGCTGTTCATCATGTGGTTGACCTAGCTACATCAGAGAGAGAGAGGTGTTGTATGAGGGTTTTTGCTTCCCAATTATAGTTTCCTAAAATCTTCTCTCTCTACAAGCAACGAACCACAAATATTTTCTCGCTTCTTTCTGCTATTAAAGAAAGACCCATGACGATTCGAAGGTTGAGGATTGAGAGAGGATTTGTGCGTATGGGCCCATGGATGATCTGG